TTTGTTTTTTTTGGGGGGGGGGGGGGGGGGGTATTGTCTTAATGATGCCAGTAATGGCTCCAGTATGCTATTTTAGAATGTCAGAAAGACCTATGGTATATGTAAGTGATAAAATTGTATATAAAAATTACTAAAATGTGTATAACATATATACATCCTCAAAAATATTTCATACCCAGTAGACAGACCAGAATGGTGTAAACATTAAAATGTGCATTTATATTTTTGAAAGCACATTGTAGACTCATAAAAAGCTTTGTAAGACAAGTTTCAGTCTATCTTAAATAATCATTTGGGACACAAATGATACATGTTTTAATGTACATAAAATACAAATAGAAGCTTCTTCAGTGTCAGTTTTACACTCAGCAATTTAAAATTACTATTATTAAAATGTCTTCTATATTTGGACCATATATGCCAAATTTCAGCACTAAGCAGATTTACCAAGAGCCGAAAACAGAAATGTCAAGCGAAAACTAAATCTAAATGGTCATAAATTGACTTCTCCTGTAAAAATAGAACATATACATAGCATACATGAAGAGAAACACATTACTTCGTTTTCAGAAAAAGAGAACAGCAAAAAGACGCAACAAGCATTTATTAATTTCAAATAACCAAACTTTTCTATCATTATTCTGGAAAACGGGTAAACTATTTTTTAAATTTAAATATGAAAGATTTCTATTTACTTGTAGGTCCAGCATGGAAGCAGTATTATTTTTTATTATTATTGTTATTATTATTATTAATAATAATAATACCTGGCTGAAAAGGACTAGCAGCTGATACTGTTGTTCCTGGATTCCTTCCACCAGCAGGTTTTCTTCCTCTCTGACCCGAGTTGTGACCTGCAGATTTCTTCCCTTTGCTCTCTGACCCTCTGGTCTCTGAAGCATCTCTTCCACTTGAAGTATGTGCAGACACTTCCTGGAAATTTGCATTTGTAAATCGAGCTGTGGTATCTTCCAACCGCTTCAAAGAGCCTGGCATCGAATTGTTGATAGTGCTTGTGTAAGTCTAACATTTAGATTAAAAGAAAAGAAGTTAAGAGGAGACTGTTAAGACCACAAAAAACTGTACATCAAGCAATAAAAAAAACTAGTGGAAGAGATAAACATTCAAGTACCGTAATATTAAAGAAAACAATATTCTTTTACTTTCATAAATGAGTGTATATTTTAAAGAATAATTTGAAATGTTTAATCTTATTATGTTACAACAGCACCATAAAATAAAGAATAGAAAGTCAGTTACTAATATGTAATATTTCAGATCAGATATAGTACCAGCTGTCAGTTCAGTTAGCAAGCATCAAATTGCAGCAATTAGTGGAAATGTATGTGCTGACATAGCCACTATATTTATCAAAAGGCAAACAGTAACAGCTCTACTTATCAAAATAATGCTAAAATTTCAGCAATAATTGCCAAGTTTGTGAAACATGGTGTACAATCAGAAAGCCTACAGTTTTACAATTATGTCACCAATCTTGCACAGTTGCTTATGTACTTAATTTCACACAATTAGTAGATTGCTTAAAGTTCATGAAGTTAAACATAAGTGTAAGCCTTTGAAAGATTCTAAAAACAGCTTCATGGTACAGAAAATGTTTACATTTTGAGGTTGGATGGGAGTATCTGAATTACTTTACAGAATTCCAAGACTATTTTCAGCTTCACATGTGTAGCAAAAATTCCATCACATTAAAAGGGAGATCTGAAATACTATGAAAGATCAGATTTTTATATTTTATATTATATATACATATGCTATATTATTATGAAATTACACACGCATAGTCTTAAGATATGACTTTAAACTGAGAGAAATGCTTATTTCTTATAAAACTAAACTAGACCAGAAACTGTGTGATTATGACAATGTCTTGTTTATTAGGCAAAACGAGGAGTGTTTAAATGATGATTATTCAGATGTAGAAGTTACTTTGAAGAAATTATTGGGCTGTTAATATAACACGATTAAATTCTAAAAGCTTGGCTGTGTGATTGTTGGCAAAAATCTTAGAATAGTAGTAAATGATAACTATTTTGATAACAGAGAAATTCTGACTCCATTGAAATCAATGGCAAAAATTCCTATTCCATATCTATATTTATGTTGAGTTTATCTCGTATTTCTATGAACGAGTTAATACTGTATAGATTATAAGGTATTCTTAGGCCTTTCGCTGGTAGTGATATTTTAAAGCAGGTTTTCTGTGATATAATTTATGTAGGCTAAAATGAAAAAATATGGAGTTATTAAATATCATTGTATTTGTAAAGTTTTTAGAAACTAATAAAGATGAAGGACTTTAATATGATGGGTGAAAAAAATATGAGGAAAAGGAGTGACATTCAGTAGTTGTATTTTTTACTAAACTGAGCAGACACATAATTAAATAAAACACTAATTTGCATAGAAAACCTATGTAGTAAATAATGGTTAAACAGGCCTTTGTTTAAATATTACATAACAATATTAAACAGTATATTTTCCTTTCTGATTATTAATGCTCTGAGATTCAGGACAGCACTTAAATATCTTCATACCCATCTCCACTAAGAAAAACATTTATACATGTGTTGTTTAAGACCCATTAAAACTATTCTCTAAAACGACACTTTCCTGAATTGGGTCTATAGCACTATAAACACTACTTCATCATCTTGCACACTGAGCTTTTATATAGATGGCAAGAAAAAATTCTCTTCCTTTTCACTAATACAGGTTGGACCTCCCTTGTCTGACACCCTAAGGACCTGAGTGGTCCCGAACAAGAGTATTTGCCAAATGAAGGGAAGTCCTTCCCAACATGGCCTGTGCTGCCCCCTGCTAGCACTCCAGCTGAACCCCGCTGCTGCCTGCCCAGACATGGCTCCCCAGGCTGGAGCTCCATGGCTACTGGGGCTGATTCTCCGCAGCTGTTGGGGCCAGGGCTCTGTGGCTATCAGGGCTGATTAGGCTCCATGGCTGCTGGGACCTGGCAGCTGTCATGGTGGCCAGAGCTCCATGGCTGCTGGGGCTCAACAGCTGCTGCAGCCAGTCCCCACTACCTCTTGGCAGCAGGGGGCCACTGCGCCACCCCCCCGGCCTCAACGCCTGCTCCAGCCAGTCCCCACTACCTCTTGGCAGCAGGGACCTACTGCGCCACCCACCCCTCCTCCACCCTCCTGCCCTGTGCTGTGACCTCTTTATACCTGGGTTCTGTGGTCCAAGAACATCTGTAGCCCGGCATGTTGCCAAACCAAAGAGTCCCAGTTAAAGAAGGTACAATTTGTATAACCACACCAGCCAGAAACTCAAAAAAAATCATATTAATAAAATTCTCCTGTGACAATACAATTCAGGTTTCACATGTTGGGATATACTACTAAAACTGTGAGAATTCAGGAAGCTATACTGAGCAAAATGGTCCCACCTTTTAATCAGTAAGATATTAATATTCAGAAATATCTATTTTTCACTTGAGAAAAGCTATTTGTTTACTCAACAGCATCTTCAGAAGCAATATATTCTCATGTTATTTTGTTTCATTCTAACTATATTTTTTTAAGTTTTCACAGTTTTATACAAACAATGCAAATTATGGTACAGAACAGGGAAGTACTTTTCTAAATTATTACTTGTAAGTATACCAACTAACTCTCAAAGTGATTTTAGTAAGATATGAAATCCAATTTGCACAGACCAATAGGATTTAAGCTCCTTAAACTCCATGGCTTACTTTAGAAATATGAACCTTTTGCATGCTGTGCAGGTCAATTGGGAAACCACCCCAGCTCATTTTTCAATCATTTTTCCATTAGCTTGGACTGGTCTTGAAGCTCTCCATCCCACTCTCATGTGACCTGTATAACCTAGTACAGGTCAAAAGCCATGTAAAGAAAACACATTGGTACTCTTCACTTGTGTCAAGTGGAGAAGAGGGAGGAAACTCAGCAAGGGTGCTGTAAATGGAACATAATATGAACTCCTACTTAGAGGATCAAATTAGGTTTGGTCAGTTCCCCAATGTCACTTAATGGAAAAGATACTAGAGTCACTCAGAAGTTTAAAGTTGCTACTTTGCTGTACTCCAACTCTAAGTATATGTATTATAACATTCTGATCCTCCTAAAGTCTGGAATTCTAGAAATCATATTGTATTCATATTAGCTAGCTAAATTCAGAAAAAGCAACAAAATATGAAAAGCTATGCACTCAATTCTAACTATTTCTCTTTTGTCACTATAGCAAATAAACAAAGTTATAATATGTAGTACAATGAGCTAAATCCCCAGACATACCATGCAACACCATTAAGCGAAACGCGATCCTAAAATGCAAATTGCAAAAAGTCATAGAGCTACAAAATCATCAATTGTAAAAAACCCTTGATAGAGCCCTAACAAAAGATCTAACATGTAATTTTATTGTATCTGGGTGCGAAGAATGGAAGTTGTCAGTCAGGCTAATTACTTAAAATGAAAGTAAGCGAAGTGAGGTTTATCTAAAACTGCTAATGTGACTCAGTTCAGACAAGAAAAAATATCACTTGGAATTTTCTGAAGAGTAGTGAGGGAAGAAAATCTGTATAACTAACAAATTAATGAGTCTGTACTCCCATCCCCAGACCTGACATGAAAAGCTCAAGCATCAGCCTAATTGGAGCTTCTGTTCATCCTACCCCACCAGGCCAACTAGCTGGATGTTAAAGCACCGCATAACACAAGCTAAAGAGTTTTGTGTGTGGATGGGAATCAAGTTATGGGTAATATTCAAGTTATAACTTGATCTAACTATGCTGTCAAGAAACACCCAAAGACAGACATAGACCCAGACCCAATATGCTTACTGCAAAAAAAACAGACCAACAGACAAAGAGATCCAATGAAACAGGCAAAGACATCAGGATAATGGCAAGAACATATTTTCATTCCAGTAATTTACCATATGTGTTTGGTCAGTTTTTATTTTCTTTTGTTGGTTTGGGGTGTGGGGCAATGGTCATTGGGATGAAGGCCAGTTCGGTGCACGGTTAAGAACATAAAAACATGAGAACAGTCATACTGGGTCAGACCAAGTTCCATCTAGCCCAGTATCCTGTCTGCCAACAGTGGTCAATGTCAGATGCTCCAGAGGGAGTGAACAGAAGAGGAAATCATCATGTGATGCCTCTCCTGTCGCCCATTTCCAGGCAAACAGAGGCTAGGGTCCCAATTCCTGCCCATCCTGGCTAACCTAACCTCCCTCAATGAATCTATCTAGCTCTTTTTTGAACCCTGTTAAAGTTCCTGGTCTTCACAACATCCTCTGGCAAGGAGTTACACAGGTTATCTGTGAGCTATATGAAGAAAAACTTCCTTTTGTTTGTTTTAAACCTGTTAACAATTAATTTCATTTGGAGACACCAGGTTCTCATGTTATGGGAACAAGTAAATACTGTTTCCTTATTCGCTTTTTCCACATCAGTCATCATTTTATATACCTCTATCATATCCTCTTTTAGTCTTCTCTTTTCTAAGATGAAAAGTCCTAGTCCTTTTAATCTCTCTTATTGCACCCATTCCAAACCCCTAATAATTTTGTCACCCTTTTCTGAATCTTTTCCACTTCCAATATGTCTTTTTTTGAGATTAGACGACCACAAGTGTAGGCAGTATTCAAGATGTGGGTGTACTATGGTGTTATACAGAGGCTCAAAAAGGCTAGACACCCCAGGTTTATATCAATTCCCTGAGTGAAATAAGATATATTAGAAAAAACACTTAATTCCAATATAACTGTGTCCACACTCAGGCTTTGGCTGATGTAAATTTTCTGCAAAAAAACAAAAATAATAAAACCAATGTAACCAATCTTGTTATATTGGCAGGAGTTTCTAGTGAGGACCTTGTGTAAGGATGAGATAAGCTTACTGTTTGACAGTTGATTTTTCTTGGTGCTCTAAAATCCACAAGCACACTCAAATTGTTTTTAAAAGTACAATGCTGATTAGGGGGTCTAAGAGTAGGATTATTGGCAAAATTAGAGTC